AATGTCACCAGCTGTTGTAGTTCCTCTTTCTTGTGTATATTCTTTTAATGATTAGAGTCTCATGCCACAAGCTCCATGAAAATATATCCACTAGGTGTGAAATTCCCATATGTCACAGTTTCAAGAATAGGTAAACAGCTCCAAAGATAAATGAAGAAATAATGCTAATGAGAAATGTAGGATTTCTGGGTTTTGTTTTCTAGGCAAGTGGCTCTTAATTTGCCAGAAAGGGGAGGGCAAGAAAATGCATCCCCCTCCCCAACAAACTCACACACCCACACACATGGGGGGAGGGAAGTCAGAAAAGGCAAAGAAACACTTCATTTGTTCAAAGAAACTCCAAATGCACTTTCCTCACCCCATCCAGAGGTACGTGTTGCCTTTGAAAGTTCTGAAACTCTTACAACTTTTAGATCTCACTGCTACATTCCTTGGGGGGTGGCAAGGAGGAAACAGAATTTTGTTTTCTTTTAAATGTAAACACTAAAGCATGTGTTAGTTTGAGATGATGGAGGGAAACCATTTTCCAGATGTTGTTCCATGATGTGCAGTGTTGTTGTGGAAGTGACCAGTGAAACAGGGATGGGCCAAGAGTCCATTAGAGGTGATTGGAGCTCTCCTTCCCAGGCCCTGCTGGGCAGAGCTTCTTTTCCACTAAGTCTGATGCTCCAGGCGACTGATAGGATGCACCTTTTAAACATAGTTACCCTTTGAAAAGAGAAAGTAAAAGTGGAAGTGGAGTGGAGAGATTGGTGGCGAAGATCCCCCCTCAACTGTCCGTCTCTAAGCTCCAGGCCAGCTGGTTAGCATCACGGGTTTTACAGCTCCTCACTTCCAGGCAGCGTGGTGCAGAACTAACTACTTATTAACCTCAGGAAATTGTTCTCTTCTCATTCTCTTTCTCTGGTAGCATGTTAGCTGGATGTTCTCATTTTCAGTGTTTTGAGAAGTAGAAAGAGTAGGTGTGTTGGAGATGGTGACATTGGCACAGGCTAGGGCAGATTTTAGGGCTGTTGGACATAGGGTCACTATGAGTTGCAGGTAACTCGACGACATGTAACAACAACAACACATTTTTTTGTGGGAATTACCCTGGCTCTTTATCGAAAGTGGATATATAAACTGTACTCCTAAAAAAATGCCATTTCTTTTTATTATCCATGTAGTCATTTAAATGTTAAGACATTGTTGATGTGAGTTACGTGGCAAAACAGTGAAGGAATGCATTTGGTAAACTGCGTCTGCTGGGTTTGGAGTATATGACTTGCATTGTCCATGTACTCTCCCTACGTGGATGCTCTGAGACAACAGATCCTGATGCACGTAGTTGTTTCAAGTGAGAACTAATTTTGTGTTACATCAAGATTAGGTTGGAAAGGACCTTGAATGCATGTGGCACCTTTGTCACTTCAGAATAAATATATGAGCAGTAAGAACATTGCTGTGACTTCTACTACGGAGGAATAACATTGTTACAGAGCATTCAGATGTTTATAAATGGAATGATTAAGAAGATTGTACTGCCTATTCCATACACTGGCATGTTCATTATGGTATTCATAGTATGCTACCCCTTAAAAGAGTGGCAAAGAGCTTTTGACTTTTCATTTAAGATATTTTCACTGTCTTAGCCCCTTTCAGATGTACACTTCAAGTAGATTTTTTTTTCTGGCAGGCACACCACTTAAAATGACCCATGATCTCTTTCATCTGATTCCTTTGAAATGTTTCCTTTTGCAAAATGAGCCAAATGACTAAAGGTATGAATATGATGTATAGATATGCAGTGATGTGATGCAGATTTATTTGGACATCCATTCCACTGTTGTTTATTGTAATGCCATACTCTAATTAGATAAATGGCAATAGAAATTATTAATCCAGTCTGAGTAGAGATGATACAAATATGATTTTTCTTTTTAGTCCAGCCACATTAAGCTTAAGAAATTACTATAAAGAAATGTTGTTGTCGTTGTTGATAGGTGCAGTCGAGTGATGTATGACTCATAAAGACCCTTGAACGACAGATCTGAACCTTGTCCTTTCCTGTGCCGTCCTCACAGATCTCTGACACACTTGAGCCCATTGCTGCACTGTGTCAGTCCACCTCGTTGAGGATCTTTCTGTCTCTTACTGTCCCTCTACACTTCTAAGCACGATGTCCCTCTCCAAAGATATCAGCATCGCTCTCCTTAGCAACACGCTCCAACGTATGCAAGCCTAAGCTTCGCCATCCCTGCCTCCAAGAAGCACTCCGGCTACACTTTCCCCAATACATATCTGTTCTTTTAACAGTCCTCTTCCACAACACCACAGTACAAAGGTAGTAATTCTTCATCTGTCAGCTTTATTTATTCATAAGAGGAAAAGTTTTAGGAGCCACTTGGATGAATTTTCCCTTTTGCTAATACTAATTTTATAAAATGTATAGCGGAGAGGCCACCACTCACCTGTCGGGGTCTTGCATGTTACTGTGGTGCTAAGAACTGAGCCCACTGGTAGCCCAAATACCAGTGGGTTTCCACGTGGTAGACAAGTATCAGTGGAAGATGAAGAAAAGGGAGATGGCTGTTTCTTTAAAAAAAAAATAGATACGTGAAAATGTTATGACTGAACATGTCTTGCAAGTAGTAAAGTCAGAAGGCTCTTTAGGAGTAAGGATGATGAGACTTGGGGAAATTCCACAGACTGCCAAAAGAACAGACAAACCTTTCTTGGGAGGAAGTGTAGCCAGAGTGTTCCTTACAATCAAAGATTGTGAGAGTTCGTGTGTACTTTCCATACATTGCCAGGAGATGCCAATTCTTGGGAAGGGACCTCATGCTTGGAAGAATGAAGGATTAGCAAAGGAAGAAGATGGTTTTACCAACAATGAATGAGAGTTCCAATCTCTCCCCATCCTCAGCGGCATTTGTTATTTGCTCTCCTCTTGAACTTTGCTATTGTTTCTGGGATGAGATGATATCGCGTTGTTGTTGTGATTAACTTTTCTCTAATATCTAGGGATTTTGAACATTTCATCATGTGTTTATTGGCCACCTGAACTACTTCTTTGGTGAATTGTCTGTTCGTATTGTGTGCCCATTTTGTGATCAGGTTGTTTGCTTTTTCTTGTTAAGGTCCTGGAATATTCTGTAAATTTTAAGCATAAGTCTCTTATCAGATATGTTATTTCCACATGTTTTTGACATGGCAAGTTCATGTCGATAAACAAATGGATAGAAAAACTGAGACAGCCATACAGTGAATGTTACACAGCCCCCAAAAAACAATTAATTTGTAAAAACACTGCAATCTGGAAGACATTGGGCTTAGTGAAGTATCTCAGTCACAAAAGGACAAATACTGTGTACGATCATTGTCATAAAAATAGGATGGACACGAAGGAAGAGAGAACAGGAAAAGAATGGCTCGATAATGAACACCACATGAGAACAGGAGAAGGGCAGGGTTATCTGAGAGGAATGGACAATTAGCCATTATATGTATTTACAGTTAACAATCTGGAACACGGCATACATTACAAAGTGAATTGGGAGACGGATAAGGAGGAAAATGTGTATCAATGAATGCATAAAAATCCATCCTTCTATAAACTTACACTAAAATCACAATTTAAACTTTAAAAAGTTTTTAAAAAGGAATATGTCCAACAAAATGGATTGACACAGGCCTGTAAAAAATGGACTTGGAACACAACACACAGACAGTAAGGATGAGGGCAATTGGGCAGAATTTCAATCTGTTGTACATAAGCTAACTATGAGTCATAATCAACAATTACAACAACAAGGAGTACAAGCAATGGATAATCTCCACAACATGTGCATATCACTTTGTAACATGCTCAGTTTCTGCCCAGTCTGGCTTAGCAGTAAAGGAGCTGCACTGCCAAACCCAAAGAGCGACAGTTTGGATCCATCAGCTGCTTTATGGGGGAAAATGGGCAGTCTCCTCCCATGTGATTTACAGCCTCTGAAAACCCAGTGGAGGGTCAGCTATGAGGCTCTTCCATCTCAATAGCACATAACAAGAGCACTTATGCTAATAGAAAATGTGTTTATATTTTCTTAAGCATCCACAATAATGGGGAAAACAAACCAAAGCTTACATTCTTTGTTTTTAATATTATGGATAAGCTAGGGAGCTCTGGTGGCCTAGTAACAAGAAGCTGTGCTACAATCCCAAAGGTACATAGTTCAAGGCCACCAGCTTCTCTATGGGAGAAGGATGGGCAGTCTCCTCTGGTACAATTAATAGCCTCTGGAAACCCGCTGGAGGGTCAGCTATATGTCAGTTCCAAATCTACAGAATACAACAACACAACAATAGCAGGAGAAAATGAGAAATAAATTCTATGTGTAATTGTTGTTGTTAGGTGCCATCAAGTTGAGTACAATTCACAGCTGACCCGAACCTCCCCTATCTTGTGCCATCCTCATCATCTGTCACTATGTCACTCCATCTCACTGGGGATCGTGAAAAAATTTGTTAACATTCATTAGCTTGTTAATATCCATGAAGCTATTTAGCATAAAGTGTTCACCTTCCAAAGTGGACAGTAAAAAGAAGATACCCTCTGGCTTTCATGAGTCTAATCATTTTAATAAGGCCGGATAGCTCTGACATCAACAATAATCCATTTTATGTAGTTTGATTATGGAATTTACTTCTAGTGTTCTTTATTTGAGCTTGACTATTTGTTCTGTTAACATTTTTAAAGTAATGCCTCACATCATTTTCCGGAGTTGTAATGAACTACTTGTCTCTGTCTTGGTCACGCCCATTGTGATAATCACTATCAATCGACAGACCCAGGACAGAGATCAGGAGGATTTGTGCAAAATTACAGAAAAGTTACAGGAAAAATTACAGATCTGTTGTTAGTAGGATTGTGATGAGTCCAAGTCGACAGCACCCAGCATCAATTCAATAACACCTTTAATATCCTGATTCTGATGGCGTTTGATTTCTCATGCTTTTTCTTTCTCTCTCGACAGAAACCTGGGATGGATCTGGCAGACACCTATATTATGTTTGTTCGACAAAACCAAGATATTCTTCGAGATAAAGTCAACGAGGAAATGTATATAGAAAAGTTGTTTGATGTAAGTAATTACACCTGCACGGCATACTGCCAGGGTAGACGCACCACAAAGGGGCAAGTTGCCTGAGTATGGTATATTTGCAAAGAAAATTCTTTTCTTCCCCCTCATTTTTGAAAAAAAAAGTCACTTTGTGGAAAGCAACTAATAGAGTTGATAATCTTTCTGTTTCTCTGACTGCTAAGAGAAGTCTTAATTGGCTTTCTTTTCTACATGAGACCTGTCACCGTGAGAATGAGAGTCTCGGAAACATCCAAGGTTAATTTTATAACAAGCAAGATGATAATCATGTTACGATTGTGTACAACATGCTTTCACTTACCTTTGCGTTATTCCGTGAGTAGAATCCTATTAGAATGGCTTTGCCCCCTCCTTTATAAGGGATTTTTTTAATGCTTATTCTAATTTTAATTCAGTGGAGTTTTCTGAAGTTAAAGAAACCAGCTATAGTAAAGCTAACTACCCACCCCTCCTGTTACTGAACCTTTTTTTCTTGATGTACACCGATATATGCTAGCAGATACAGTATTACAGCTGCCTGCCAGAAAATCTCTAGTCAGACATGACAACTCCTAGATTGTGGTTTTAGATACCAGGATGCTCAGGTCTCGCTTATGGAGCATCTACAGAAGAGACCAAGAGAGCAGTCCATTTCAATAGCAGTGCTGGCACCCGCTTGCAGGAACTTAACAGTCAATTCAAAGGACGTTGCCCGTGCCTTCGCTTTGCATCATTCAGCGCAATACTGAGTCTGGGGTATAATACTTACTTTGAAGGGTATTTATTTGTGTATGGCTTCTCTGCATTTTAGAAATGCTTTTCTGGCAGTTTCATTTTAATTATGCAAGTTACTGCAAATGTTTTCATAACAGCAGTTCACGGGCTTCCTGGTAACACTTCAGCTGTGGCAGTTACAGAAGATCTTGCCGCCGTCATCTCCTCTACCATGGTCTGTCATGTCAGCGTTCACCGTTTGTCAGATCGAGCGGCCAAAATGAGTTGTGCCTTTCCTCCTTTATGTTTCTAGCCTCTACCCAGACTGTTTAACAATAAAAGTATCATCTGTTTTAATAAGCTAAGTGTTAATATGTGTGAAAAGAAGGATTTCCTAAAAGCTTTGATGCCCTGCAGTGGTAGGGAAATTATCATCCATCCAGCTGGCTCTTTTACAAAATACTGAAACCATATTAACAACTGCTTCCATTTGGTCCCGCTCTGAATTCCAAGCATATGTTTCACTTCTAACTTCTCATTACTTTTTTTGCTTATGTGATGATTTTCAGAAGTGCTGGACAGAAAGGGAAAGTTTGCTTCTTGTTCTTCTCATTTCTTCTTAATCTAAAGTTACAGCACGGATTCTGGGGTGGGGGGAGAGGGGAAAAAAAGGAGGAGCCCTTTTCAAACTAAAACGCAAACAGCACACCCTCTGTTCCCCAGTCAGTTCTGACTCTCAGTCATCCTCCATTCTTGGGCTGTACATCTTAACAGGAGGAGACGGCCTCATCTTTTTCCTGAGGAGCAGCTGTGGGGTTTGAACTGCTGACTTTTCTATTAGCAGCCCAACGCTTAACTTACCGCACCACCAGGGTAAGAGGCATCTTCCATTTTGGGGGGTTGGTCACCTATCTACTGCAAGCCTTAACCATTCTTCCAGGGAGGCGGAACTTCTCAACAAGATGGATTGACCCAGTGATTGTAATGATGGGCTTGAGCAGAGACTCTGAAGATGACTCGGGATAGGGTAAAGGTCAGCTCTGTGGTTCATAGGGTATCTGTGAGTCACAGTGGACTTGGTGTCAACTAACAACAACGACAATGACTGTCATTCTCCCAACTTTCTTTTGAAGACTTCTGTGTATGGCAGTGATGACAAACAGAGAGGCAAGTAGTGTGGACCCAAGGAGGCCAGTATTAAAATGATAGGCTAGTTCAGTTGTGCTAATGACATGATACTGCGTGCGTTCTTCTCAGGACCCAGTCATCTTACAGGAGCCTGTCACCAGCCACTTTCCTATCTGGTCATGAAATCCTTGCAGTTTTGCATATCCACACCAAAACTTTACACTTCTTTTTCGTAAAATTGTCATGCCCTTACCCCTTCTAATATTTTTTTAAGTTGCCCATTTCTATAACTGTAATTAAAAATAAAAAGAGGACACTAATTCAATTGATATTTCATCAAGAATAACATGTATGAGAGGGTCCTAAGGGCCCCCAATTAGTCAAGAATGAGTTTGCCTCAATTACAGTTAAATAAATGAGAGGTTATCAAGTAGTGTTAAAGGTGAAGTCGAATGTGCATCTTAAGAAACAGATCATTATTGAGAGACGTTATATAATTATTGGAAGTCCGCTTGGCTAAAGCTTAAAATAATATCATTAGATGTCAAGAAACAGTAGAAAATGATGACCCTGTAAATACTGTGAGCAACCTCAGCCTATTAAAGATAAAAGACTGAAGAGAACGGTTTTACTCAGGCATCATGACAAACTTTTGTCGTGCCAATTAGAGTTCTTCCTGAATAAATAAATGAATCTTCCCAACTTCAGATGCAGGTGGCACAGATGCACATTACAGTGAGTTAACACGTGGTCGCTCTAAGCGACCCCCATTTCTGCTTGTGCAATCTAAGACCTTCACTATCTTTCAGAGTTACATGCTGTTTGTCCAGGTAAAAGTCGTTCTCTTTTGGGAAGACCACACATAAACCCAGCTGTCATTAACTCAGTTCTAACTGCTGACAGCCTATGGATGTTGGCATACATCTGTGCTCTTTTAAAATTCTCAGCAGCTGACCTTTAAAGACTAAGGTGCACCTGACCCACGCCACTCTATTTTCAGTTTCTCCATACGATTGTGAAAGCTGGACATTGAATAAACAAAATCAGAAAAGAATTCATGCCTTTTGTTGGCAAAGAGTTTTGACAACATCATGGACTTCAAAAGAACAAGCAGATCTGTCTTTTGGAAGTACAACCCAAATGCTCCTTTGAAGCGAAGATGACAAGACTTCGTCTCAAGTAGTTTGGACATGGTATCAAGAGAAGGACATCATGCTCGGAGGAGTGGAGGGTCCACAGAGGAGAAGAGGACCCTCCAGGAGGTGGATCAGCGTGACCACTGTAACAGTTTTTTTTTTCTATAATTATATTTTATTAATTTTCATAAACATTTACAGAGATTTTGGGCTTCCACTCATTCATTGTTGCACTACACTGTAACAGTTTTAAGCACAGCAGACACTGGAAGGGCAGTGCAAGACTAGCCAGGGCTCCCTTCTGTTGTAATTAGGGTGCCTGTCAGTGGGAGGTACTTGATAGCATCTAACAACTTTTCGTCACCAAGCCTCTCTTCCAAGACACCTCCAAGTAGCCATAAGCCACCAGCCCTTCATTTCGCAACCATCCACTTTACCTTCACCCCGTGCAAGTCTCTCCACTATTGCAATTCCTTTATAATACACAATGAGGCATTGGGAGTGTTTGTTGAACTACCCAGAGTGAACTAACACTCCTTTGTGGTGTCCTCTGCTTCAAAAACATTTTTATTAATTAAACACCTTATTTTATTTGTTTTGTGGTTAAATCACCTGGGGGGGGGCGGAAACCAATTTCGATAATGTCCCACTGACTTGGGACAAAAAATTATAACATTGTCCTTGATGTGTATTCGTTGTTAAGAAAATTACCTAGAAGTGTAAGAATGGAGTCTGTTTTGAAGGCCAGAAGAGAGCTAATATTGGGACATACACGAAAATATCTCTCATTATGCTATATTACTGTGGTTGCTATCAAGTACCACCAAGTCAGAACAGACTCCCAGCAGCCCCTCCAGCGGAATTTCAGTTCTGTGAGTTCTGTGGGAGGAAATTGCTCATCTTTCTCCCGTGGAGCAGCTAGGGGATTATTTGAACCACTTTCCTTTGAGTTGGCAACACGCCTCCTTAACACTGTCACCAGAGCTCCCTCATCGCTCTCTGCATGGTTAAAATTCTCCAACATTTCACCTGAAGAGAAACTGTTGACTTCAAACAAATAACTTCCGAAAGGTAGTTATGGCTGTGTAATGTAACAGCTATGTAAACCATGCTGTTGGAAGAGCGAAGTGAATTGATTCAAGGTGCGTTTCATGGAGCCCTGGTGGCATGGTCTGGAGGGCATTGCCTTGCTAGCCCAAGGTGATGCTTGTCTTATGGTTTGAATCCCCCAGTAGCACTGCAGGAAAAAGATGGGCCGTCTCCTCCTGGGTGGTTTACAGCCTCAGAAACCCCACTGAGGGTCAGCTTTGCGGTTCTGACGTGACAGCAATGGATGATTCATAACAATAGCTGCGGCCACTGCTGCCTCTCTGTGGACACCTCCAGATGCCAGGAACTGTACCTCGTGTCCAGCCTTCTGCGCTCAATACTCTCATTCCTGTTTTATCATGACTTTTCAGCAAAGCAGTCCTCCATTCAGAAAAGATAAAGTCAAGCTTTGCGATGCTTTCTCTCTAGCTCCAAAATACATGCTGTCTCTGTGGTACCACCAGCTTAAACAATTTGAAGTGGTAAAGCCTAACTGTAGAAGGAACATTAAAATCAAATTTGAGATACCAGCATCTTAAGCAGAGTTCTGCTATCGATTGAGTTTTAAGAAGTGAGAACAGTTTATACCTCGGTGTATTTAAGACAGCTAGACTGGAGGAGCTGGCCTAGAACTTTAGGTTGTTGTTGTTGTTGTTGTTGTTGTTGTTATGTGCCATTGAGTCACATGAGTCTCATAGCGACCTATGTACAACAGCCCTAAACCCTGCTCTATCCTGTGCCAGTCGCACTGCCTCTGACACACCCATCCCAATTACCCCAGTCACTGAATCAATCCACCTCTTAGAGGGTCTTTCCCTCCTACGCCGTCCCTCCACCCTCCCAAGCATGACATCCCTCTCTAAGGATCTGTCCCTCCTTACAACATGTCCAAAGTATGTCAGACGAAGCCCCAGAATCCTTGCCTCCAAGGAGCAG